ATGCCGTGCGAATCGGATTTTGGAAACCATTGATGCAGACCTTAATCCACTACTGAGAATCTTAATTCTTTCTCATAAAAAGTGTATTTTTTCTTTTTCTTAACCCTTTAAATCTATGGCCGCCGAATCTTCTAACCCTCGAACCGTCGAAGAGATCTTCAAGGATTTCGACGGTCGTCGTTCTGGTTTCCTTAAAGCTCTCTCCGTAGGTAGAAGCAATCTCTTTTTCTCTTCATAAGTTTATTACAAAATGCCTTAACTCCTTTTGGCTTTTTATTTACGTCATTTCTTGTTTTGTTTTTCCCAGATGTTGACAAGTTCTACTCTTTATGCGATCCGGGTAAGCTAGATTCGATCTGTGTTAAAATTTCCATGGATAAGCTTCAGTATAAGATACCCTTTTGCTCCAACACTTGTGTTTGAGAGATTTAAGTCCTTTTTGTTTTTTTGTGTTGTTAGAAATGGAGAATTTGTGTTTGTATGGTCACCCAAATGGGACATGGGAAGTGAATCTTCCAGCTGAGGAAGTGCCTCCTGAGCTACCTGAGCCAGCTCTTGGAATCAATTTCGCAAGAGATGGTATGGAGCGTAAAGATTGGCTCTCTTTAGTTGCTGTTCACAGTGATTGTTGGTTACTCTCTGTTTCTTCCTACTTTGGTGCTCGGCTTAATCGTAATGAGAGGTATGTAATCATCCTTCTTACTTTATATATCGTTTCTTGCTTGATTTGGCACTTTAATCATAAGATAGCACATGATTTGTTTTGGTTTGTTCTATATAAACAGTAGGAGATCATTTTAATGTGGTCGAATGTGTTGTTAAGGAGGTGCAGGACAGTATTCATGAGCTTGTGTCGTGACCATTTGTTTTCGTTTCCTGCTTCACTTTTGTACTCTAGCCCTATTGCTCAATGAAGCGTTCTGTAGGATGAAATATATTAGCGAAAAACATGGAGAAAAGTGAAACCTTTGTGACAGTAATCAAGCTTGTAGGGAGCATACTTGTACTGGAAAAAGGGATCAAATCTAACAATACAATCACTTTCCTTCCTAGCTAAAGTTCTTTCCATGGATGCCATTTTTCACAGTTTCTTCTATCTCATGACTTGCATCATTTGGATATGAAAAATGGCTACTACATTCTACTGGAAATTTGGTGTTTTTTTCAGTATCTGAGCTGACAGGCTTGGTATTCACTTTTTTACGGTATCTTAAAAGCATTATTTCTTTTACGATTCTATATGTTCGTGTGGTGTAATCTCTGTGTCAATATAAATCAAGAATTGTTATCCTGGTAAACATGTAGGCAGCACATGAATGATTTGTTAAAAAGTGTGTGAAAAAACGTGCTTATATATTGAAGAATAAAACCACTGTTGGGAAGCTGGTGTGTACTGTTGATAATAATCAAGAGAAAAATGGTCCCCCTTGATGAAATACAATAGTAATCACTGTTTTATATGTTCTCAGAACAATCCTTGGTGTATGATTTACTTGGAGAAATTGTCTTCTTGAATCTTGTGAAATTTCGGTTACTCTGACTTTTCCTTGTGTGTTCTGAGTTTTTGTTTATGAACTTACATCGGATGCTCCATTCAATAATGATCAGGAAACGCCTGTTTAGTTTGATCAACGATCTCCCAACTCTATTCGAAGTAGTGACCGGCAGGAAGCCCACCAAAGATAAACCAAGCATGGATCTTGGAAGCAAATCCAGAAACGGCGTAAAGGTACCAAAATAAACTCTCTACTCTTTACAATCGCATCTGCTAAGCTCCTCCCTTTTAGCTGTATTCTCTTTGTGGCATCAGTGGAACTACAAGAGCCAGAAACAAAACAAAAAGGGTTTATAAATCTTCTTTATTTTGGTGTTATGAAACTGTTGCAGAGATCAATTGAAGGGCAGACAAAGAGCACACCGAAATTAATGGAAGAGAGCTATGAAGACGAAGATGACGAGCATGGAGACACGCTGTGTGGAAGCTGTGGAGGAAACTACACAAACGACGAGTTCTGGATATGTTGTGATGTGTGTGAACGTTGGTACCATGGAAAGTGTGTGAAGATAACACCAGCCAAAGCAGAGAGCATCAAGCAGTATAAATGCCCTTCTTGCTGCACTAAGAAAGGAAGATAATGAGTGAGTGATCTTTTCATCCACATATCATCATCACCTTCTTTGAAATGTGTAATCATTTTTAGGGTATCAAAGAACTCTTATTGTAAGATTTTGATCTTCATAATCTCATTGGTAATTTTGAACTACAAGTTGTTGTACTCTTAGTAGTTAAGTGGTTATGGTCGATATCTGTTGTGTTTATCTATGAATGATATATACTTTGATGTCACCCAAAACCAAAATCATGAGAATTTAACTCACAAGTATAAAAGACAAAAAGATATCAGTGGGTATCAATATTCTTAAATTATACTGTAATATTTATTTAATGAACTTATTATATTAATATTTTCTCCATATGAAAAAGAACATAAAATCAAAATAATTCATTCCATTAAAAAGACGCAGTCGTCGATAGTGTGAGTGAAAATGCAACTTGCAATTTTCTTCTATATTTAATAATATTCACGTTATTCATAGTACATATGTTATCATCACAAAGACCAACTCAATACTTTGTGAAAATCCACATGCTTATTATTACAATAATTTAATAATGTATATAGTATATTATTGTTATATAGATGTAATATATTATACATAGTTCAAATGTTTGACATTTTGAATATGATGATTTAATCCAAAGAGGGGCTCACAATAGATTTAGACGTGGGCTTGGTGTTAGAATATTATCCACACAATCTTCTTTTTTCACCAATCAACCACTAATAATCCTCAATATACAGTTGCAGTAAAATCGAATCTATCCAGATTTTATAATTGGGAGAAATGTGTTTATGAATTAGATAGAAATGTAGTGTATGACTCATCAATGACAAACTTGAAAATGATCGCACGCCATCTCCATCGTTTGTATATAGTAATATATGTATCAGTTTTCGTCTTTAATATTAATAAATAAAATACAAATTTTGTTGTGTTATATGTAATCCTTTAAATTATTATCACGACAGTGAAAATAATAAAGAACGCAAGAATTAACGTAAATTTCACTCACCATGTGAATTTTGGGCTAGTGGCATTTTTTTAGAACTTTTTAAATGTTGTGTTTCCTAGGACTTTGATTCGATTTCCGTTTTAAACGTTAATTGTTTGGGGATATATTCCAAATTGCCAACTTTTAGTTGGAAGAGATTACAGGTTTAAAAGGTACATGAATTTCTTTGCTAATAAAAAAATATGTCAATAATTTGTAATCAATTTATGTGCCACGTAAATCTACAACTAAATGGACAAATTTTTATATATAACTTTTTGTGTCAACAACATGCATTATGTTGGATTTGAATTTAGATGATAATACAATACACATTAGTACAAACCACTATGATACATATGATTTCAAGGTCGACAAATCGTTACACTATCTACAATCAACTTAATGATTTTGAACAAATCGTTTTACTATGTGCAATCAAATCAATGGTTTTGTAAAATTAACTAATTACACCTAACTTTTAGC